TCTGATTGGTGACATATTGTATTGAAGTATTGCAAAGCGAGCATGTTTGTGAGTTGTTTGTTCGGCCGTATTTCAGAATATAATTTTGCTTTGTCATCAACTGTCGCCTTTTGCTCCTTCTTTTTACCACAGTCGGCGTTCGCTAACTCGCCAAAAAGGACCGTATCTGAATTATCCGTGCTTTCTTGGTGCTGTTCGGGAGGCAGGTACGTCAGTCCTTGGAATTAGCCCAGTCATTGCCTCCCTAAGTACCTGGGCCAGTGACAGTTATTTTGGCATCCGCGACAGGACCCTTTTGATGCTCAGTGTGTTCAAAGTGTACTCAGTCATTCATAGCGCTATGGGAACGATCTTTCTGTGTCGCACGGCATCTCGCTAACAAGTGTGCATAATGTGTTTCGATAGACCGAGTAGGGCAGATTTTTTGTGCACGCGACAAGGATCTATTTTAGAGGCACCATAAATCTGGAGAAGTGAGTAGCTCCTGGTGAGAATATGGGTCTTTCAGGGGGCCAAACTACGTAAGTGGGTCAGCCAGAAGCAGAAAGAAGATAGAGAGAGAGCCAATAAAGAAAAGAAAGCTGACATTCAGACAAATAGAGGCGTTCGCGGCTGAGATGGAAAAATAAGAAAGAGAAGCACAAGAGAGGCAGATATAAATGGAGATGGTTGAGAGAGAAAGGCAGTGGCAGCATGAGATGGAACTCGAGTGGCTCCGTTTGCAGCGACGAAGTAATACTCTCGTTCAAGCTAGAGTGGAGAGCAGCAAAAGGGAAGTTAATAGCTTCCATTTCAATCCATGCAAACTGCTCGTAGCATTTGACGAGAGGAAGGAGGACATTGTTGCGTACCTTCACAGATTTGAGACAACTGCCACAAGCCAGAATTGGCCACAGCATGAATGGACAACTGCTTTGAGTATTTGCTCGAGTAGCGAAGCACCCTGACGCCAACCGATACAGCTAACAATACAAAAGTGAAAGCTGCTTTACTAAAGTAATCCAGATTCACTGTAGAAGGCTTCCAAGGCAGATTTAGGACCGGAAAGTCAGCTGATGATGAGACGGCTGCGCAGCACGCTGCCCGACTTGGCCACTACTTTGACAGATGTGTTGAGCTTTCCGGGACAGCACATAAGGTGAGCTTAGAGAGGTGCTTATCAAGAACAATTTCGCATCAGTTGCCACACGAGCCTGTCGCTGTACTAGAAAAAGAGGACGGCTACGTCACTTAAAGAGATTCTTCAATCTGTCGATGAATTCTTGAAAGCAGAAGGTGACACACATTTGGCCAAGAGTAAGAAGGAGTGTCTCACAAATTCGAAGAAATCGGCACCTAAAAAAGTAAAATAAGCGTGCCTTGAAGAGTGTTACGTGATGCTTTCTGTATAAACGAGTGGATAATTGCGCGAACAATTGTCGAGCCAAATTTACGCATCCCAGTGGAAGGAAATGTTTTAAATGTGATCAGATTCAACACAAGGCTGACGCATGTCGTAACAAAATGAGTAAAACCCTCTAAGTAGTCTGTGGACATGCACCAGCAAAAGATAATGATGGCAGCATCAGCAACAGATTTGTGAAGCTCAAAAGCAAGAAGTAACTTCTTAATGAGGGTGATGTCCCGACACCGTGCCAAACAGGTGAAAATGACAGGAATGTCAACACTGCTTGGGAAAATTGCGGGTAAGAGGATCACAGTGTTAAGAGACACAGGAAGCTCCATTGTGACCGTGCGCAAGAATTTAGTGCGTGACAGTGAGCTAACAGGCAAAACGAAGCCGGTGAAGAAAACGTGCCGTGCAGGTGAGGCTGCAACAAAGCAATTGCCAAGAACTACGAATGAAATGGTGACGAATGCGACCAGCCAAGTTTGATGCCGCGACGTGCACAAGCTGGCGATGAACCGTCAAAGATCAGCCGATTGCGATGACGCTTTGGCGGTATCGAAGGTGCGAATGACTGCCAAGGCACCACCGCTTGAAACTGCTCGCCAAAGCAGAAAGAAGTAAGAAGAGATTGCTCGAGCACCATAAGAATAGGCGCAAGCGCGACATCAAGCAAATAGGATACAGGACTTTTCGAGTTTAAAAATTTGAGGTCAATATTATCAGGTACATCAACCGTTTCTATTATTAATGTTTGCTGATTATTTGAGCCTCAATTCGGTCGTAATAATGGCTGGAAGAAAGCACTGTTGTGATTGTCTACCATGTGTACCAAGGCTAAACAACGGTGCCAATAAGAAATTTGCTCTAGTGCAGAAAATAACATTTTCATACGGGTATTGTGGAGCTCGATAGGGGAAGTATCTTCTAAGAGTCTGTAAAATTCCCAGGTTCTCAGCTACATATTGGAATCTTGGCCAGGCTTGCTGTGGCACATGTAACAAGTGAAAATTGCCACTTTGTGATGAGTGAATTCAGGCCAGTTTCTTCTTAGCGCGAAAACACTTATAACAAGGTACGCGAAAGGCGCGTAAGACACAAGCGCTAAGCTATTGAAAACACCTTATGACCAAGCTACTCCAGTTGTTAGTACCACTGCATAACCAATGTTTGAAAACCACCAGTGGAATGGTAAAACACCCACGCACTGTTGTCTTGCACCAAATTTTAATAAAAGCTATCACTTCACAATGTGATACATAAACTAAGGTGCCACGTTCATCGGCAGCAAGTTAGATGAGAAAATACCACGGATGTGTTATACGAATTTGATTGGGTGGCGCCAGATAGTGGTACCTGCGCAGTTGACGTAAAAAGTATTTAGGAACGCCAAAAAAGGCACCATTATAGAACCTGTTCAATTAAAATATGAATTTTTTAAAGCGTTCTGCTATAGCACAGTGAGCGACACAGCAAGGCATTTCATAGCTAAGCGCTTTTGACAAGCATAGATAGCGTGCGTGACATATACCAATGTTGTGCAAAATGCTTATATTCATAGACACTCCTCATGCATCACGGCCTTGACATATTTGCGCTACCGCCTTGACATAGGAAAGTACATGTATACGTACTCCCACCATGCCTTTGCCATAAAAAAAATTTGCGTCTCACGTGCAGATATGACGCATTGCAATTCCAAAACAAAATGATTCGGCTGCAACCCATTCAGAAAGAATAAACGTCATGTGTCCTACAGTTTTGGATATGAAAATGTACTCACCCACTGGGCATGGTCACTCACAAGATGACGCTCCAGCATGTGTGCTGTTACCGTGATTCAGTAAAAAAAATCCTTTTAATAAATACATTTGTTAAAGACCTTGCATATGATTTGTTGTTCCTGAAGACTTATACGCAAATGCAAAATGAAGGAAATAAACACATTTCACGTGAAATAGAAATAGTAAGTGGTAGCCTGATTTCTTTCATTTCAGGCATTTCATAACACCGTTTACTAACATAAAGCTTTACAGGGTACATATAAACTGGCACTAATATCGTGAACTGTTCTAATCTGCGTAAGCGTTATTGACTGTTTAGTGTATTCTTTATGGTTCTAGTTCAGTTGTCTTCTAATAAAGTGTACTCTTTGCATGTAAAACTTCATTAATTGATTGATATGTGGGGTTTAACGTCCCAAAACCCCCATAAAACTTCATTATATTTATCTTTATGTTACATGTGTTTACATAATCATGTAGTTATTTTGTTGTTCAACTGTATTGCCACCCCACTCCTCTATATAGTACAAATGTACTCGGAGGGTTTCAAAAATAAATAAATAAATAAAAAATAAATAATTATGGCTGCCTTCACTGCTCCCAGCAATTGACTCTCAACGCGATGTCATTTGCTGTAGTAATTGAAGAATGCTTTAGATGGTCTTTCGTTTTACGAAAAGGCTGGGAGTTACATAAAAAGGGCTCTAGCTCTTCACTTGCTTTTTAAGTGCACCCTATGAGCGCCACGTATGACAGTAATACTATACGTCCTATAATTCAATATGCCTCATGAATTCAGATCACAAGCCCGAAAAACCTATGTATAATACATGTATTTTCTTCCTGTCTGCGCTGGTAAAATAATTATCTGTAAATGATAGAGGATCTCCCACAAGATTGGGATCATATCTTATAAACAAGTTAAACTTTTTTCATTATGCAAAACCTCTAACGTAAGAAACGATGCTTACAGTTTTGTAATGGCCGTTGCTTTTGATCAAACTACTTCGGAGACATGTTCCTTGTTATTTAATATACACTGCCATAGTAGAAATGTTTCCACATGGGATGGGATAGGATGGGATGTGCGGCTACTTGAAGTATTTTCCTGAACACACGAGTGGTGACCAGTGGTCGAAAATTGCTTTATAACAGAGAAAAGCGACGAAATGAACGAGAATACGCATTTCAACGTATTTTATTAGCTTCGTTGAAATTCCTAAAAAGTGAACAAAAATACATGCATGGGCGTATTCTCGTTCACTTTATAGCTTTTCTGGGTGTATTCTCGTTCACTTACTCGGTTTTTCGTTCGCTTACTGGGCCTATCATCAACAACCAACAGTACGTTTGCTCGTTGACCAATACAGAAACATCATTCGCCATCACCGACTTTAGAGTTGTTGTCCGATAATTACCACAGTATTACATTGTGATGAGTTGTGAGTGCCGCCATGTTCACCATCTGGCACATTTTATATGAAACTGCCGTTCCGAAATATTCGCAGCGTTTCGCTGCGGCATCCTATACCCATGGAGCGACCTCCGGGGCGTTAGCGACGTATACCAAACTAAGCCATACCTCCATATAATGCAATCACTATTACCACAACATCATTTATTGTAGTTTATATGCAGTCAACTATTTCATCTAGCATAAATTTATTGTATGATTTCACCAATATAATACAAGCGAGCAGAAGGCAAACGAATGAGTCGTGCCTTGTATACTGAATAGGCATTGTATTCTTTTGAGATTTTGTAAGGAAAAAAAAATAAACGTTATCAAGATATATGAAAGCACTCTCACAACTGGTTGCGCCTTACGAAGCAGCTACTGAAGCTCGCAAGAAATAATTACTTAATGTACCGTGAGCATGACAAGGTACGATATTCTAGTACCACTTACATTTTCAGCTCTATCAATTTTTATAAAATGTCACAGCCTTCTTCGCCTTCCTGGGCTTCAGGCGCCAGACATCACACAGGTTCGTAGTCATACAGGATTCACCTATATTTACAGCATGACGTGCGTGGTTAACGTGAATATATATTTTGACAAACGTTTTGGCAGTATATGTGCCTCTCCGCTTTCTACAGCCAATTCAATCTTCTACGATCGCTCACTGACAATTTACTTATGATGCACACGCTTTCCGAAAAAAAGCTCACTTGTGTTGTTACTTATAGTTCGTGAATTCTAGCTTTAACTATGACACAAGGTGTCTGTCTTGCTTATATTATTTTTTTATGAACTCATCCATATATTGATCAAGGTGCCGTGTTTTTACCATTACATGGGAGCACGGGTGCATACGTGACCATACTGAACTGATGTGATTTTAAATAGCATGAATGGTCTTGTTACACCTTGCGTGGCACATTCAGTTGAGGGACTGGTAAATAATTTCTAATAAGCTATAAACGAAGTGCGCAGACCAAAAGGGTAATAGGGAACTGCTTTACTTAGTGTAAAAGATCGGACGTCGTCAAGTACACTTCCCGCCAACATATTTTCAGCTTATTCTTCTGTCACGTGAATAACTGGACTAACGATGTTTCCCGACAAAAAAACGGCTCTACCAGCTCATTCAAAGTTACCAGCGAGGAGTTCAGCGTTGAGGGCTGTTACCTGAGCACGGTAGCATCAACCTTTGATGACACCGCGCCGGCGCGTGAAGCAGCTGACACGCTTCTCATCGATGACTTCGCACCATGACAAAATTGTCAAGGGGGGGGGGGTAGAAAACGAATGAAAACGATAATTCACGCACTCACACTGCGCCACATGTAAAGGCGTGATTGTGGAGTTGGATGACTCATAATGGTTTCGTTTCCTGAATAAATAACTTACGGTCCTATCATTCGACACGCAGCATCATGAAACCAAAGAAAATATGGGAAAGATAATAGCGACATTGGTGAATTGGTGAACATCAACATTATAATGAAGCTTTAAAACCGTACACATCGTGTGGTTGTCTCGAAGTCTGAGCCCGAATGGACTGTTCTATTACTGAAGACTGTGCTTTTTCCTTGGGCTCTTTTATTTGTCCAAGCTAGAATAATTACTTCGTCTTTCACTTCCTAAAAAGCGGAATTTGAAAATTTAGGTGTGTGTTGCAAAGAAAACAGATATACTCGGCGACAACTTTCTGAGGCATTGAATGAAAGGCTATTGAGCCAATGTGGGCATGTGCCACCACTGTAGAATAAAGTGCCAGAAGTCCATTCGTGTTTTTGCCCTAAAATGGTAAAAAAGAACAGCATTATTTTCTACTAGATGCTGTTTATAAAGAGAGGCTGCATGCACGAAGGAGGCATCAATATTTGTTGTTGCTTTCTGAAGAGTCGTTTCGCGATTTTGTGCGCCTGAAAACGTCACACTTTTTACGTTGACCTCACAATCAAAATGGCGCCTTGGTCTTTAGGAGAGCGCGCGTCGCCCTTCAGATAATCAGACGATACGCCGCAGGAGCTTGTACTGTATTTCACTCACAAATGACTGTGTGAGCGGATGTATCTAATTGTGTGCAGCGGAATTACTTGAACATGGCTGTCATTCCAAACGTGAGCCGAGCCGGACTACTTCGCGGAGGAGTACAAGCACAGTAGGTCTGCCCACAGAGCTTTCCCTTCATTGTCACAGAAAGTTGTCCCCGAGTATAGCTCACTCACTTCTTCCAGTGCATGAAGTGGTAGCGCACCATAGTTTTTCTAAGGTCGTCTTTAGCCTAAGCATGCGCAGAGTTCCCTTTCAAGGAGGGTGAAGGTTCGTCACAGTGCCCCCTTCCTCTAGTGTCATTATAAGAAGCAGGCTTTGCGCCCCTCTTGACCCCCTCTCCCTGCCCAGTGCGCACACCTATAGTCTGTCCTAGCCAAAAAGCATCTGCGGCGTATTGGCACTTTCATAACACTGATGGAGCAAAGGACCTTCGTAAGAGCGACACAACGATAAGGCCCCAGGGGACTTAAGGGGGCACCATAACAACGAAACATTTAGGAGTGAGCATTAGTGCAATCTTTATAATGTGTCTGACCTCTCATATACTTTGTGTACTTTAGTCATAATTTTGATACCTCCAATATCCTATAAAAAAATTAGCGACTCTCACAAACGTCATGGCCCGCTCCATAATAACTGGTGGAAGTGTCAGTGGAACAACGCTGCGCACAGTCAGTCACATTGGCTCAACCGCGCAATCTGTGCAACTTCTTCGGCACCAGAAACGTTGCGACCGATTACTGGATCAAAAAATGCTACGGTTCAGCAAATAATGCAATTTAGAACCCAATACATTGCCCATTACAATCGAGCATATTATAAACAAATTTTATTTAGTAAAAAATTGTTTTCGAAAACATATATAATTAGCAGAGCTATTCAATAAAGTGCATTAGAAAATCATTTCAATAAAGAAAGATTACCATTACTTTTAACGCGTAAAAGTAGCAGCAATGTTTATCAAACACAGTAGCATCTAGAGCGTTCGAGATGTTTGGTAACTACAAGTAGAAGAACGGTGCTTACTTCAGTAATAAAGGCCATGATTCGTTATCATCTACTGAACGAAACTGAGGCGCAAAAATTAAACTGTTTCAGAATTAATATTTTCGTAAATCTCATGCTGATGACAGTATATTAGATACTTGCTTCGTCGACTCTAAGCGTTATAGCATGAAGGGCTTTATACAAAGTGTCTACAACTACAGCCTCTGTATTTATTCATAAACTCTATATTCTGCGCGCGTTTTAGTAAATTATAAAAAAAACGAATTTTCCGCGGTTCAAAAACAAAGGCCGATGGACAAAAATACAGGAAAGCAGACAGAAAAAACAGAAACAAAAAATTTTAAGAGACCGAAAGCCTAGCCCTTTAATGTGTAGTACAGCGAGTGTTTTAAAATGCACAGGTCTGAATGTTGAAACCTATCCAATTCAAGCTAGATAAGTGGCCCACTCTCTCTGCTTTGTCCAAGCTTTACAAAAGTTAGTGCAAGATCCCCTTTTGTCTCTCACATCGCCACTCGGTCCGACGTCTGTAACTTGCTATTTTTTAATTGTTCTAACACATTCACACAGATACCTTCTCAAAACAAGCTGCACATGGCAGATGTTTTGGACAGCTTTTAGAAGTGGGACAAAAGCATTGTTCAAACAGCCATGAACGAACACATGAGAAGCCAATTCAACTTTTGCTACTTTTGAACGCCCATGTTAGTATTTCCGGGTCCCTACTACAGATATAGAGCTGTTCATCAATCTAGCAACTTTGCAAACTGGTTAGAATAAGCTGGCTTCGTTTGAACTACTGAGTAAACAATTGTCAGGAATGCTCGACATAACTGCAATCAAAAGCCGTGTATATGGCGAGCTGCTAACAGATACGTAACCTCGAATCGAAAGTTAAAATTACTTATCAACAAAAAAAGATTACCCTTGTGAATTGTCCGCAGGAGTCCAGGGCAAAGTACACCAGCAGAAAATAATGTACGAATGCACCGATGGCCTTCATGATTAAAAAAAAACAACTATCATACGTGATAACTGAATTCTCAGAGAAAATGTATCGTGGCAACACAGTTACAGAATAGGTCTCAACGTAAACAAACTTGTTTCGGGTTATTTGGTACATGCTTACTAAAATACAGAACACGCGTACCATCAAGAAACAAAAAAAATTCAGGGCAGCAAATGAAAGAACACCTATCTGTGCTGTCCTTCATTTTTTTCTTTCTTGGTGGTGTGTGCATTTTTATATTTCAGTTAGAATGTGCATGTAAGCATGCTTCTCATTGCCACGCGTGATATTGAAGCACTACTTTTAAAGAGTATAGTGTGTTCTACAAAGAACGTATGATATCTGTGCTTTTTTAAGCAAACTGTTGGTGGAAGACTTCTAGCCATGTGCCTCGATGGAAGCAAATGCTGGGAGCTCACGCACTGTGCAATGTGGAAGAAGGCTAAAATATGCATGTGTTCGTAATAATTGCAAAAGTGCCCTTCTGCATCCGTAAGCTTAAATTACTTAGGTTGATTGAGTTCAATAAAAGCCAAAATATTCTGATGTAGAATAAACGAGGCTGAATATTAGACTAACAAACATATTTCTTACAAAACGTGTATGTAATTTGGAACACACCAGTGCCTATTTAGAAAAAAGGTCTTTTTTTTCTATTTGAAAAGTGCAATTTCTATGTGTGCGTATTCCTAGCGAAAAGAAGATGGAAATATTTAACGAAACGATTACGTTTTCAGAAATACATTGCCGGTAAAGTGCGACAATCGTCAAAGTGAACTCGGTGCTTATATCCTTAGTTTGAATGCAAGAGCATAGTGCGAATAGCAACTTTCGTAGGTCCCGGAATAAATTTAGTTTAACTATCACAGCTTGCAAATCGTGTCACTTTATCTGATCATTCGACGAAATATTCAGCAGTTTTACACCATGTGCCGTTACGACGCTTTGTCATGCTATGAAACTAAGCGTGTCGCGCAATAATTTTCGATAGTGCATCAATTGGAAAATGAGTATGCATAATGGCATAAAATTGTCCCTGCACGTTTTACAAGTTTCAGACTTTTTTCTCTAACGCTGAATGTTGCTGTCTTTTCTTTTGTTGTCATAGATTACGTTTTTTTTTCCTTTTCGCAGTTCTACACACCAAATACCACTATCTGGACTTTGCTGACAACACGAAGGAAAATAACCTGCAAAGTTGATTACGTGAATAATGCAACCAATACTTCGGTTTTCTTTAAGAGAGAATATTGCTTAGGCCATGAATGGTAAAACATTACTGTCTATTATAAGAAATTCATTCCTATACACTGACAATATACCAACAATTGTAGGGTCAATACAACTTTGCAGGGGATTTTCATAACTATCAGCCTTTTTACTAACGCTACGTATGATGCAATGAGAGTGTCTCCTCCAGGTAAGCTCCTTACATTTATGAGTCACCAAGTCTATGTTTTAACTCTATGCTTTTGAGCATTAGCTGTAGCACTTGTTTGTAAATATTAATTTGGAGATAAACCAAGATCTAATAGGTTATGGTCCTAACCAATCAACGCGAGCGTTAGTGAGCTGTTAATAAATCACCCTGAAGTGCTGCTACGAACGAACTTTGAACACATTTACTGTTATTCTTCTTACGACTTCTTCGTCTACAACAAATATTTTAGGGTATTAAAAGTCTCCTACTGTAGTTTCAATGTGACAGCCGGTGTAACGTGCCATCTTTCTCGGCATGTTTGTTCAATGAGTTGTAGTCAATATTTTAAGCGCAAATTTTGGGCCATTTTTATCACAGAGGAACTGCTTGCTATAGAAATGTTCTGTGGTATGTTTCTACTGCTTTAGAATAGACGAAGAGATATGGTTGCAACGTTGGTCTGCTGTTTTTAAAGCAGGCGATGAATGAGGAATTCTAATCTACCAAGTTTCACCAAGCGCTACAGCATACAAACATTAGTCTTAAGGGGCTTCCCTCTCTATTCGACGCACTTTAAGCAATTAGTAATTGACCTCACACTGTTATGACCAGCCGAGCATATCAATAACAAAATGCACGAATTTTACACAATTTGCAATATTATAGCGAAGATCTCAAGCATTCTTTGAAATGTACAAACACTGTAGCGGACTTTACTTTATCTTTCAATAATAATAATAATAATAATAATAATAATAATAATAATAATAATAATAATAATAATAATAATAATAATATAATATAATAATAATAATAATAATAATAATAATAATAATAATAATAATAATAATAATAATAATAATAATATAATTTGATAACACGTATAAAAGTAGCAATATTACTAATATAATTATTATTGGTGACATCTAGCATCCCGAAACTTCGATACTATGTTGAGAGAGGCCGTAATGCATGGCTTTAGAAATTTCGCTCACCAGAAGTTCATTAACGTTAACCAAAACCTAATGAAACGGGGCTCTAGTGTAAAGTATTCTAGCATAATGTTATGTCGCCACTATATCCCCTTGTCAGACTTAATGAGCTATGGTGTGAGAGACGCAAAATAAGACAGTGTGACGTTATTTGCCCATTCCAATGTTCCTGCGCTCTTATCTCAAGCTATCAGAACCTGATGTAGCACTGCTTCTAAGATTGGTCCAGTTTTGACTGATCGAAGAGGTCAGGTGTTTATAATATCATCAAAATAAATTATCAAGATCGAAGAGGTCAGGTGTTTATGATATCATCACAATAAATTATCAATAAGTGTAAACTTCTGGCGTAATCATCAGGTTACGCTATCAGGTAATTGCTGACATTGTGAAGACGTCGATGTGTTGCTTCAGCTAGCACGGCTTTTTTACGAGACCTTGTAATGCCCGAAAGATTCGACAATGGTAGCACGAGACTGTGCATGATTGCTCCATGGCAGCCTTGTAAAAATTTTGCCTCTCTCCTTCGAAGTGTCATAAAAATGATTCATTATAATGGGCAGTGTTGTAGTATAGCTTAATCAAAATAAATCGTTCTAAAGCAACAAACTCTTTCATTTTTGCTTCCGAATTATGAAAAATTTTGAATATTACTTTCCAATTATTGCCAGCGACGTTATCTGGCAACTTTTACTCATATTTTGGCAACGTTCAGTTATGTACTCTTTTATCATTTTAAAACAACTTAGCAAATGATTCCTTCAAAGAGAGGCTAACTGCTGTTCTATGAATTTTAGCAGTGATGTCTGAAAACGGTGGCAAATTTATGGACATTCCAGGAGCAATCCTCGCGTCACCGTCATTGTCAGCGGTGCGAATCACTTCAGTGATAGCCATCGTATTGACGATACCACCGCGTCAAAGACGTCGAGATTGGAAATGGTGGATCATATCTGCATCACCGTCGACCATTGTGATAAATCTCCTCGCGTGTCGTATGCGAGATGTGCAACGACATGCACGCAAGCACTCCCTATTTATGATGGCTTTAGAAGATGATACAATGCTCAAGCCGGGCGTAGTAACTTATGGTTATTATATATTGCAAATCAGCACGTGCACTATTTTATGTGTCCTGTTATCGTGTAATAATGCCTGGAAACAAGCACAGCACAAAAGTAGCTTTAATAGCGAATGCATCGTTGTTTGTTTGTGTTAGCGTTTTCATTCAGTCCCGCCCAGACAGGCCATCAAGGAGTGAGCTCCTAGCCTTACTTGGTTTAACATACATGAATCGTTGCAATTCCAGCGTTTCGCTCTTGTGACAAACGTAAGTTGTTTCCCTAGCTTGAGATATTTAGTTAGAAAAAGGATTTTCCCATAAGAAACCATCGTTTTACGTGACATCAGTGAGGTATGAAGTCTACTTAGTTGGTACTTACACGGTGCGGCCAGCAGTCCTCGAAATAAAATGAAACTTGTGGTCCAGCAAGGGCTACCAGTGCAAATATGCCTATAACAAAGTCTTCGCCTATACCACGAATGTTTGCAAACTTGCTTGCTGAAGCGTGTGAAGCAATGCCTCCATTGATAATTTTCTTTACAGTTAGTATTTTCACTAACGTAAACGATAAAAGTGATAGTTGTAGCGCCACATCGCCACGTAGTGGACGTTGGCAAAGACAAGAACCATGGGACTTATTGTTCTCGAGTTCTCTGGCGTCTTTTTTTTTTGTGTGTGTATATCAACTCCTCCCAATTTGCACATTGTAAGCCGAGCTGGCAGCAAACACTCAATATCTGCTTCTTGTTATTTTGCAAAACAGCGAGTGGGGGCAGAAGTAGAATATATGAAAGTTTCCTGTCCGGTAAAGCCCGTCTGCAACGGACCGGCGACCAGAAGCGTCCTGATCAGAACATGCGAAAAGCATGCCGTGCGCTGTCATTCGGCACACACCGCAACAAGATGACTTCCCACATCGCGAAACGGATCTCGGTCGACTAACTGAGGCACTGCACTTTTGCGCAACAACAATGCAGATATTTGTGTCTACGGAAATTATTTCCCGCGAATAAAATATAGAACGGAATGCGTTCACTCACATGTCTGACAGCAAAAGCTGTAATGAGATCACAGCAAAGGTCGCGTGTGCCGCTGTAGTTGTCCACTGCGACCGCCGCCAGTGTCGGTAATCACTATCACATGCCATGAGAAAAAAAAAAAAACTCGGGAATTAAAAAAAAAACTACGGACCATCTCTCCGAAGGTAAACCCGGTGGGATGCGAAGCAGCAGTGGTGCGCATGGCGTTGACATGGTTGAAATGGGCATCGGCTCGGTTGCTGAAAAAACTGTTTGAAACAAAACTCGGTGTAGCGTTTACTCGAGTAAATGCTTGTTTAAAACACAAAGACACGAGAGGCGTGTTGTGGTTTGAGTAAGTTTTATCGGATATAAACGATCTTAAAGGGTGTTCCCACTCGACTTGGGGTCGAGCATTGTGGGTGGTGGACAAGGTGAAGCGAGAGAGAAGTGAGCGGGCTGAGGAGCCGGCAGCTACAGCCAGTGTGATGTGGTTGAGGTAGAGGAGAACGTCAGCGTCAACTTGTGAGGAAAGTGTGCGAGAGGAGTGTCACGTCAACGTGCACTTTTGGTGGACCTTCTTGGCACCGCTACAACACCTGTGGCGAGGTGAACGCGTTGCGGCGCGTTCGTACAGGCGCATGTACGTATGGCGCTACACACGTGAGTCGAAGAGCTGCGTCGCATCTAAAACACCAACAACACAATGACATTCCAACTCAAGTCCCCTGCATGCCAGCCCAGTATTCTACTACTGAGCCATGCCACGGATTTCTTTTTCAATAATGCATAGAATCAACAGCAGCGATTGTGAATTACGTACACAATCACTCATCAGAAGTCAGGCAAACACACACATGCGTTCAGAAAGGGAAGCCACTCCAGAACGGTGTCGAAAGTCTCGACAACACTACGCACTTGAGCAGCCGCGTCTGGGAAGACAGATCTTGTCATTCATGGGGGCTCAGCGTGTATATCGGTGATGCGACTTTTCCATAGTAAATACAGTCTCAACAACATAAACTGGTCATATGGAGTAGTATCAGTCGGGCTTTTTTTGCAAGGGAGGAATGGGATGCTGTGAGCTGTGATTGCAAGGTAAATTATGATTGTTGTTTTTACAATGTCCCCTAAATACAATGCGTCACAACAATGAACGAAACAAAGCTCTATCTTCTCAGGTTGGTTCCAGAGTCTACAATTTGCTGTTCGTGGCACATATATTGATTTTTCCTTGTGTCACGTTTTCACTAGTAGAATGAAAGCGTGCAGTTTGAAGAAAAAATGATTTCGCTGCAGGAGACATTTACAATCTACGTACACGTAATAACGCGCCATGACCAGGCAAATAATTGATTGATTGATATGTGAAGTTTAACGTCCCAAAACCACCATATGCTTATGAGAGACGCCATATTGGAGGGCTCCGGATATTTCGACCACCTGAGGTTTTTTAACGTGCACCCAATCTGAGAACACGGATCTACATCATTTCCGCCTCCCTCGGAAATGCAGCCGCCGCAACCAGGATTCGATTCCGTTACCTACGGGTCAAGAGCCGAGTACTTTAGCGGCTAGACCAGCGTGGCGGGGCATGACCAGACAAACTTGAACATGACAGCCGATAAACAGGTTCGGGAAACGGTTATTCAAAAGTACAGTGGTTCACGTTGTTCTGTCAATGTTATAAAAATACTCTAAACTAAACCTGTCTATGAAAAACAAGAGTATCGGCAATTTTTTTTGGGAATACGCACAAATGCGACAGATTAAGTACAATGGTTTACGTTGTTCTGCCAATGTTATACAAATACTCCAAACTAAACCTGTCTATAAAAAATTAGAGTATCGGCAATTTCTTTTGGTAATACGTACAAGTGCGACAGATTGAAGCCCCTCTTTTCAGGCGAAAAACAATTGTCTCTCCTCATGGGTTCTCTTCAAGAGTACCAAATGAAACAGGCAAATATCCTGAGACTTGAATGTGCACATTAGAACAGTGCTGCACCTGCAGAACATATTTAAGCTTTGATACAAGGAATCTTGCGCACTTTCGCAAAAAGGGAACTGTCTCGTCTATGCTATGCAGCAACCTTGCAAGAGTTTGTAGTTATCGCAGTAGTTCATTTGGGCAGCTGTTACGATAGCTATAGAAAGGCACGCTAAGGTGCCGAATAGAAATCGCATTCCAGCGGATATTTGAGAAGACCGAAAGAGTTTAGACCCACATGCTTAGGCAGTATTCGTCACTCTTATCAAAATTTATGCTGGTACCAGTGATTTCACAAAGACGTAAAGTGGCCTTTACTGCTTCTTGAACGGTGTGTACAATAACGCCGGTGCTTGATCTTCCTTTGCAAACTGGCCATAAGCAGGCTTGATGTTTAGAATGGAATGGCATCCATATGAGTGATAAGCATTTTAGAAGAGCAAAGAAATAATCAGGTGTCACACTATGCGAACTGCGCGAAGAGTGGGTCGTAGAATGCTCCCACCCATCACAAAATTTCGACGTTCTTCGACTATTAACTGTGGTGCGTACCCACTGTGGGAGAACGGGCCTCGGAATACAAAAACCTCTAGCATAGTTGCTCATCGTCGTCTGCCATGGCACAAAAAGGAAAGTTCAGGAAATTTATGGAAGTGTTCGGCGGGTACCACGCTTCTACGAAAATTGACGAAGTATGTCATGCCGTGAATGCCTGCCTACTACAAATTGATTGATAGCGTAGAGGGTACCCTGCAAATGTGCTTTCAGGAGCTACCCAAAGAGTGCTAATAAAGACTCTGAAAGGCCGTTCTTCCAGCTTTTGCTGTGACAATGCTAAGCGTACCGCGCAGGCCTCGCTAGTTTTTTTTTTTTTTTTAGGAACACGGAATGACTATTAGGCACTTAGTCTCAAAATATTCGCGCAAGCAACATTGAAAGGTGTAACAATTGTGCGTTACGTGAACCATCCTGGCCAGTCAACCTCCCAACAAAGACCGACCAAAATAATCACACAACGGCCCATGCTTTTTTTCGTGTACGCATACATAAGGTTTTGTTTTATCGCTTGCTTCAGTGTATGAAATTATTTGACGATACGTGCCTTCCTATATTGTTAGTGCCTCGAACACCGTAAGTTTGATGGCTGTTACTAAATTGAAGTGAGTGAAAATTTAGTAGCTACTGTGAAAATTTCTGCCACTGTTACGCCATCGCCTTAGCCACGTAAACCAAGCGCTCGTTAAAATGAAGCCTGAAACAGGTTTCACCTTGACGCTGGCGTTTCCAAGCTAATCATGATGATTATATACATATATAAATATGTTCTTGTTTTCCTGTAGGCATTATGTCTCTGGTGGCAGAGCAGATACTGTTCGCTGACCCTACATTTACATGCGGAGTCTTCAAAATATTTTTGCCGCCCTCAGTTGGGGATCGTCGCAAAGGTGAGTGAACAGCATTGCTAAAAAAGGTCGAGCTTTGGAGTGCACCCGCTTATAGATCAATAAAATGTGCCTGCAAAAACACCTGCTTTAGAGCAAAGTTTAATCTTCTTACACCCTACCGTTTATAAACATGTTCCTGACAATAATATATAATCCCATTTAAATCTTCCCGTACCACTGTCTTCACATTTTTCGAAAACACTAGAAAACCAGAACTAAGAAGAGTGAGCTTGTCTCTAAATATGATGTCATAAAGAAAACCTGTGATATGGCCTATTTGGAACATACTGATCTTAGAGTTTTGTAGAGGCCAACGCAGACATAGATGAGAAACACGAACAGGTACAATTTTTCAGCCGCTTTCCGTAGTCAACTTTGTCCCCATGTGCTTGCGCAAAAACAAAATAAAAACAAACAAACATCAAGATGATGTCATGTTTAATCTGATGACCAATTTCTAGTTCTATTATATATTTATTTTTCTGTCCTGTGGTTATATTTGCGAGGTTACTAAGTCTTGTAGTGCTTTCGTTTCTTTTTAGATTATATACTGGATACTACGATATTTATATTCTCGCGCTCTACCTAACCACCCTTATCAATTTTTGTTTACACAACGAGCCTATGGGTGCACGCGTAAAGAAAGTGTCTGCATGCTCTGTAAAAATAGGTAAATAAAAATTGTTCAATTTATTCATTTCCTTTTTAATAACTCGGCCCACAATAAACACACAATTGTCGCCAATCACGAATATACTCGTTTCGCCTCGCTGAACAATTTTTCGGCACTCGCGAGATAAATCTTACCAAGAAAAAGAACATGACTAGGGATAGTTCCACACAGCACAGCTGAATATGAAAAAAAAAACATATAAGGCCAGACAGCTCACAGTAGGATTCTCGGCAACAGAACTTACGCATGACCTTTCAACAAAACTTACGAATGACCTCACATGCTTACGCATGTGAGGTCATTCAATGCTATTAAGTATCGGCTCACGTGCGCGCGCTGTTTGACAGCTAGGAGAAGAAATTCAGGAGCCTTTGGTGTGTTGTGACATCTTTTAAAGTAGTATTTTTGCGCTAAGCCTTATATATAACTCTTTTGCTCAATCTTTCAGTGTTTTTATTTTTCTTGAAGATTATTTTCATGTTGGTAGTGCTACTTTTTGCTTGATGAAATAATTGTCATTAGGAATTTTAGTATGAAGAAAGAGCATTCAACTGCATTGCTAACAGAAAATTTCATATAACATGCAAGAAAACTGGGCGTGAAAATTTCATATCATCTGCAGCAACAAATATAATATGAAATACAGCCCGAAGCAGCCTTCGCGTGCATCATTATATTGTTAACTTTGTAGCGTACCGAAAAGCAGCTCAGCGAGAGGCTGTAAGAATAGAGCTTTAACATCTAACATTTAACATTTTTCAAAGTGACCATGTAAAAAAAAGAACAGAGCGTAGCACACACAAAGCCCTTCGAACATTTTCGGAACGCTTGAAACAGGTATGATATATAGGTATTTATACAAGGTTAACGTGAAATGTGTATTATAGAAAAAAATGTCTTGAAAGTATGGCTGCAAGATTAAGTGGCAATTGTGAAATGTAATGCCCGTCTGGTCTCTTATGTGCACTTAGTAATACAGGAAACTTACAAACACATTCAAGCTTGAGTTCTTGTTTAGGAAATTTACGTAACTCTACATGAAAGTTTAGTGCAATCCTATTTCGTAAGCGAGATTTAATGGACATCATTACAAATGACTTGTCTGAATACTCCAAGATGCCACAATACATGACCAACTCAAGATTTCGGGTTCGCACATACTTAATTCCAATGCATTTTAAACATTTTTTTCGTGAACTCCCCTCCAGAGATGTATAAATGCGCTGTGAGTAATAACAAAGCGATATCTTGGATATCGAGAATGAAACAGAAAATATCTATCAATCAACTGTTGAAATCTTGCTTTATGAAAAAGCTGATTACGGAATACAAGCGTTTTGTCTGTTGGATTTTTTTTTTGGAAAGTGCAAGTAAGGGTTTAAAAGCTATTGGATACAGCACGCTGACGCAGGTGATTGGCTCATTGTCGCAATGAATAGAGGTGCAGTAGTGAGAAGCCCCATCAGTTGTAAGTATACAGAAACCTGAAAATATTAAGTAGACAAAGATTGTGCCTTCATTGAATAATCTCACTTATGCGCAACAAACTTTGTATACATAGGCAGTTCGTATGGACAAGAAAGGCGTTGATGTCATACAGCCAATTCATTTAGCCGCTCGAACGCAACAAGAGCCTTGTGGTATACGAACAGGTAATAATTTTAAGCATAATAGCATCTAATAACACTGGAGTCACATATTGTAGTATATAGTCGCACAAATAAACGCATCAAGAATTCTGAAATTCTTTATGACAATATTGTGTTGTCAGCATTTTAAGAGCACAAAGTGAGTATGGTAATTTAAAGAACCTTTTCTTCAGGCCAATGAGTGTTGTTCAAGCGAAGCTTGCTATGATATATGGCTATGTGTGCACTTAATTTATCCTATAGCTCATTGGTATAAAGATTATGTACGTGACATAACTCTTCGTAATAGTGGTAATATTCAAACATCCTTCTCCTTGAACAGTTTGTTCTCTAAAACACTTTGTTTTACAGGTTATACGTCTACCACTCTATAATATATTCGGTCACGAGACTTCTTGTCTAGCGTGATGTCGCTATAGGCTCTCTTTACGAAGAAGTTCTAAGGATTGGCATAGTTATTTGCGAGAATACGAGACTGTCACGCCGATCTACTTGTTTATAATCCTATTTCATCGCGCATGTTTATAAGAAGGGTTGTTTAAGCTTGTAACAGGCGTCCTATAAAATGTGAATACAACAGAAAGTGTGGATGGGTCAAACAGCTCTTAAAATAGCATACCAATGCACAGTATACTGTAGCAAAGTGTTAGGCATGACATATTCGTTTACATCTTGACTAAACAGAGGGTTGAAAAGGATAAACGGGGGACGAGAATTGCTGTTAGGGTTGGAACGAGGGAAGTTACGTGGGACAAAAATAAGCTACACGTATAGGATAGCGTGAAAACATTTATGAGAGAGGTGAGTGTAAGGCAGAAGATTCTATAGATCAAGAAGGCAGGACAAGATATGGCAATATACAGATAAAGAAAACAGAGTAGAAAAAGTGAAAAAGTGAGGACAGACGAAGAAAACATTGAATCTGCACTTTTTCGAGTAGCAGAGGTAGCTTCGCAGCTTCTCTGTTTATTCAGATTTCACACCTGGGCAAATGTCTTTAATTCTTCGTAATTGTGCAATGTCTGTTAGAGGCATCGATGGCAGTGCAAAACTGCCACAAAGATTAGGGCTGTGGTGTCATCTCTTGTTGGGCTGGAACGCACGAAGTATTCGTTTTGGATAATTCCTGGTAAGAAGTGCAAACACGACAAGAGGCGAGGAGAACAGACGATCAGCTGTCATTCTCTTCGCACATTTCACATCGGCTCACAATAGCAAACGCTGAATATTAGTTGTAGGACTGTCACACATGCACTAAGCTTCGCTTTCCCCAATCCTCATTTTGATGTCTGCTGAATTCTCGTGCATTATTTCAATATTTTATGCAATCACATAATTTAGCTCGTGTAACTATACTTCTTTAGTGGTCGAACGGGCACTAGTGTTTGGCTGTTCATGCAGGAGTTTCAGGATAGTTCCTTCGCCATTTCAATAGGACCATGAGCTCGGCAATGCATGTGTTTGGCTCTAAGGTCTACAGCGCCTTTTATGATCTACAATTCCCACTGCTTTTACTGTCAGTTTCCAAAATATCAAACCTCTATGACGTTGGCATTTATTGCAACCAACATTAACAATCGAAAATGGTTACTACGTTATTGTCAAGGGCATGATTAATTTAACAATTTATAAAGTATTGACATTTTCAAATAAGAAACTGTAATTCTACTATGCAATTGTGGCGATTTATTTCGCTGTGTTGGGTAGTAATGCAAAATTTAAATTTGCTTCTTCTGTTGGCGAGTAAAGTAGTCAGGCCCTGCCACAGTGGTCTGTTGCCTAAAGTATTCGACTGCTGACCGGCAGGTCACGGGATCGAATCCCGGCTGCAGTGGCTGCATTTTCGATAGAGGCGAAAATGCTGTAGACCCGTGTGCTCAGATATGGGTGCAAGATAAAGAACCATATGCAGTCAAAATTTCCGAAGCCCTTCACTATGCCGTCTCTCATAATCACATGATGCTTTCGGCACATTAAGCCCAGAATATCAGTATAGTAGTCTGGAGGTTGTGTAACGAAATGACCGGTGACGACAACGACCTCCATCAATTAAATTAGCATCGAGCCAGTGACGGCTACAAATGTCATAGTGGTGTTTCTTGACGTCAGATGGTGTGAGTTCATATTGTCTTGCCATATTTATCTCGGCTTGTATTGTACAGCCATGTTTAATTGTATTGTAATGCATTTAAACCATTTCATAGCAACATATTCGCACGATTAGACAAATTCGAAAATAGATTTAAAGTATGCCGTCATTTTGATCAGAGAAACACGCTCCCCAAGTTGAGCGAAGGAAGGTTTCTAAGGTATTTGGTGCACTTTTCTTGATTTCACAGTAGCGAGAGGATTAAGGACCTTGTATGAATTCAGTGACTTGCTTTATTTTGAAGTTCCATGCTTTCTGCTATATTATTTTCAAATGTCATGACATGTGCGAAAATTCACTCTTGTGTAGAAGAATCTGCGAATTACGAGTGAGCTTAAAATGTGCTCCTTTTATGCTCTTGAATAAATTTTTAAGTGCAATAGGTGAATAATATTGTGCGCAAATGTTCTTAAATCTATGCGGAAATATACTGGTAATAATTATAATTGCATCCTTACGTCTATCTTGATTGCTGATGAACTGACAATATTACGTTGTCTTAGGGGCAAATAGTTCAAGCACATCGACTTATATTGCCACCATGCTACTGGCAATAGAAGGGCATGTGTAAGCGAGTGGTTGCGATTCTGGCTAACAGGATGTATAATGAAGTGCATAGGTACGAAGATGTTGATATGTGATTGTCGTATTGTTTCTCGTCATAATTATCTTGAATGGCTGCTACCAGGGTATACCAAGAGAAGCTTGCGTTGGTAAGAATTCATTACTCCGCCTTTTACCATGTTTTATTTATAGATAAATTTCAACTAAATGCAGCATGTCGATAGAAAGTTTTTAAATAAGTGTAAAGGCAATTATTGAATTATTGGCCATTTTGATGACATTCGGTCTCGATGGAAGCTTGCATTATTTTAGAATTTTATTCGATTGCTAAACATGCCAAGCTTCATTGAAGTTTGCCAACTGTTATTTGCATACGCAATGCCTTTTACTGTTACAATGTAGTACAGAATTCTAGAAAAGTATTGCCACATTCCATTTCCAAAGTTTTCGTTATCGTCCCAAAACACCACACGATTCTCAGCGCAAACCGCGCCTGCAGTTTCCGCGCCTGCAGTTCGAGAAGGTTCCGGACTGTAGTAGATCATTTTGATAAGATCACGCCCACTGTGCGATTGGTACAGATTGTTCTGGAACCTACGCCACCGCCAGCGATAACGCTAGAACATTTGATTGCAAGAGTATAAATGCCGACGCGCTTCGCCGCTTGTCAGTTGTTGATCGAAGGCCGACGCTGCGTTCGCCGCTATCAGTCCGAAACTGCTATCTGTGCAAGACTGCTGCTGTAATTAGACTTTCCCTTTACCGGGCACAGGTTCGCCCAAATAAACAGTTAAATCCCAACACGAAGTTTCCTGTCTTTGACCACGTCACGACCCCGTGACATCTGGTGGAGGTGCTGCTTCGTTCATGTACCAGACGCCCCCGTCAAGCCGTGAACCCAGCCCCCGTCGCGGAGAAGACACCGACGCCAACCAAGAGCAGCGAACGAGCCGCCGACAGCAAGGTCTCCCACCGGAGTACGGCCTTTTACAAGACAAGGCGTGGAAGACCAAGACCATGACCTCGACTGCAGCGACAATGACAACCGGAGCGTCCCAGCCCGCGATCGTCATTCATCAACCCAGGGAACCACCAACGTTCCATGGCTCATCGTTTGAAGACCCGAAAACCTGTCTAGAAACATACGACCGTGTGGCCGCCCTCAACCACTAGGACAACGAAGAAAAGCTCCGTCGTGTGTACTTTTACCTGGAAGACACCGCAAGGACCTGGCTAGAGAATCGGGAGTCTACGCTCCGAACGTGGGATGTCTTTTGCGGCGCGTTTCTGCAAACGTTCGCAAGCATCGCTCGCAAAGAGAGGGCCGCTGCTCTACTCGAGACCCGGGTTCAGCTACCAAATGAAAGGTTGGAATTTTCACAGAGGAGATGACCGCTATTCCCGTCACGCTGACCCAGACATGCCTGAGGAAAGAAAGTTCGTTTCCTCATGCGAGGGTCAAACAGGAGCTCTTCGCGGGACTAATGAGGAATCCACCGAACACCGTCCAAGAATTTGTATCCGAGGCGACCACCATCGAAAAAACGCTGGACATGCGCACCAGACAGTATAATCGTCGCCTGACTCCAGAATGCGCTGCTGCTCAAGCCAGTGACTCCGACGACCTGCGTGAAACGATCCGAGCGATCGTGCGGGAAGAGCTGCGCAAACTGTTGCCTTCGGCGCAGCCTCAAGTGGATTCGATCGCCGACATTGTGCGAGAAGAAGTCCGGCAATCGCTTCGAATTCCCGTGAATGTGAGGACATGCTGGGACTGTCAGCGACGCAAGACACCGCCGACAAGGCCAGCGGGACTTCTGCAGCCAATTGATCCACCTTGCCGACCTTTCCAGCAGATTGGTATGGACCTACTAGGGCCGTTCCCGACGTCGGCTTTCGGAAACAAGCGGATCGTGGTAGCTACCGACTACCCACCCGCTACGCCGAGAACAAAATGCCCTGCCAAAAGGCAGTGCATCCGAGGGTAGCTAAGTTCTTCGTCGAAATATCATCCTACGTCCCGGCACCCCGGAGGGCCTTATCACCGACAGAGGAACGGCATTCAGTGCCGACATTAACTCAAGCGATCTTGGCATACAGCCAAACAAACCACCGCCGGACGACAGGTACCACCCACAGACCAACGGCCTCACCGAGCGGCTTAACAAGACGATCGCCGGACAGCTGTCCATATGTACGTCGAGTCTAACACAAGACGTGGGACGCCATTCTTCCGTATGTGGCCTCGCATACAAAACGGCGGTGCAGGAGACGACGCAGATAACTCTCCATACAAATTGGTCTACAGAAGGAGCCCGGCAACGACCGCTCGTGCCATGTTACCCCAACGTCCCGACGAGAGAAAGCCTCGATGGAGCGAGTACCTATCAACGTGCCGAAGAAGCCCGACAACTTTCGCGTCCTCCGTATCAAGAACCAACAGACGACAGACAGCCACCGTTACAACCTTCGACGACGCTTCCTGGAATACCAGCCCGGTAAACGTGTTTGGGTGTGGACGCCGATACGCCGACGTGGACTAAGTGAAAAGCTTCTGCGACGCTACTTCGGACCGTACAGGGTGGTTTGACGGCTCGGCCCACTTGATTACGAGGTTGTCCCCGACGGCATCACGAACTCTCAACGACGCCGATCGCGACCTGAAGTCTGTGCATGTCGCGCGCCTCAAGCCGTTTCATGCGCGTTAACAAACCGAAACAGTGTTTTTTTGTATCATTGTTTCATCGTAATTTATTCATTGTACTTTCTTTCATTATTATTGTACCTTCATTTTTAGTTAAAGCATCGGGACGATGCCTTTTTTCAGAGAGGGGCAATGCCACATTCCATTCCCAAGTTTTCGTTATCGTCGTCCCAAAACACCACACGATTCTCAGCGCAAACCGCGCCTGCAGTTTCCGCGCCTGCAGTTCGAGAAGGTTCCGGACTGTAGTAGATCATTTTGATAAGATCACGCCCACTGTGCGATTGGTACAGATTGTTCTGGAAACCTACGCCACCGCCAGCGATAACGCTAGAACATTTGATGGCAAGAGTATAAATGCCGACGCGCTTCGCCGCTTGTCAGTTGTTGATACGAAGGCCGACGCTGCGTTCGCCGCTATCAGTCCGAGACTGCTATCTGTGAAAGACTGCTGCTGTAATTAGACTTTCCCTTTACCGGGCACAGGTTCGCCAAATAAACAGTTAAATCCCAACACGAAGTTTCCTGTCTTGACCACGTCACGACCCCGTGACAGTATTGCGTGTGACGCACGTTAAGCAGGTAACATTGCAAATTAAGTCAGTTTATTTTGTTTCAGGTGGGAACTATGAGTTGCGCATGAGAGGGTCTTATAACACTATCTATGATTCAATGTGCTACGCCGAATTCAAGAAGTATGCGCTAAAGGACTTCGTACATGCTTTTCTGCCGGTTGCACTGGTAGAATAATCATATGCAAATAAATAGGCAGACCTCCCACAATACTATTCGAATCAAATAAAGACCTCTTCGCCGGCTTGCAATAATAGTGAGGTCATCTGAAGCAACCAACCCGTAATTCAACAAATGAGAAGATTCAAACATTACGCATCAAGTCAAACTACTAATTTTGTCAGTACCTATATAATAATAATAATTGAAAAGTACACTTCAACTCTTCACCGGTGTATGATTTTTCCAGTGTGTGTAACCTTTTTACTCACTACAGCTAGTTAAAATTTTTCTTATATGTCTCTAGTGGTCAAATCAGTGTACGCTAGTTGTTATGTTTATATTCTCTGTGCAATCAGTTGTTTGTATAAATCTATTCGTAGACTTTCTATTGCTCGCTGCGTCGTCTTCAATTTAGGCTGAACTCTCTATGTAAGTCTCTATTTTTCTGCCCGGTAGCTAAGTACCGGCAATTAAGATACAACTGTTACATACCTTCCTCTTGAGGGATAAGTGGCAATCTACTTGTCTTAATTTGAGAGTACTTGCCAAATGTGCTCCACCCCATCTATTCTTCTAGTTACTTCAATATCAAGATACGGCTCCACGGTTATTACCTGCCCTAATAGACATAGTCCTTTTACAAACTAAAGCGCGCTATACCTATCTCGACGTGCTGCTCTCCTTCCGAGGTTGTCGTACATTGCTTTCGTTTTCTTCAGATTATTGAAGGACCTACTTTTCTGCTCTCCTTGTCTAACTAATAATCACGAGTTGCAATTCGTCCCCTGAGTTACTGAGCAGTGCAATGTCATCGGCGAAGCGCAAGTCACTACGGTACACTCCATTAACTCTTATCCCTAACTGTTTCCATTCTAGGCTTCTGAAAACATCCTGTAAGCACGCGGTAAACAGCATCGGGGAGATTATGTCCCCTTGCTTTCACACCCTTTTTGATTAGTATTCTGTTGCTTTATTTATGAAGCAATATATTAGTAGTTGATACCCTGTAGATTTCATCCAGGATGTTTTATATACTTCACCGGCGCCCTGATGGGCTGCATGACAGCTGATATTTCTACTGAATCAAACGATTTCTCGTAATCTATGAAGGCTATGTATAGTGGTTGTTTATATTCTGAGCATTTCTCTATAACCTGATTGATATTGTCAATGTGATAGTTTGTATACTATGGAGAGAAAGCATGTCAGCCTGTAATTCTTCAAGTCCTTGTCATCTCCTTTCTTATGTATTAGGATGATGTTAGCATTCTTCCAAGACTCTGGTACTCTTCCCGTCAAGAGACACCTCTTAAACAGGCTGGCTTCTTTTTCTAACACAATCTCTCCTCCATCTTCCAGCAATTCTGATATTACCT